TTGCAATGCGTATATAGGTGCTGTTAAAAAGTGAAATTCAAGTTGTTGTGTGGTTTGCAATCAACATTTAGTTACTAGGTTGGATGTGGGTCGAGTTTGGGGATGTGATTTAGTATGAGAGGTGGTCGAATGCATATAATAATGTTAGATAGCATTATGAAAACTATATAGCATATAGTTATAATAATTATTGAATATTATTTTAATCTATTACAAATAATCATTTAAATCTTAATTTTGTCATCCAAATAAATAGTTTGATTATTTGTTCATGTAATTAGTAACTTTATTTTTAGAAATCTTTATTATCTTTTTCATAAAATATATAAAAATATCTATGTATTTGTTTGTAACATTTAAGCCACTCGTGAATCAAAGATATGTGTTATATATGTGTGCTCATATTTTTTACTTTTGCAGGAAGATACTCCAAAAGATATACATAAGGACTCAGAAGATAAATTTAGGACATACTATTTTTCTAAATATGACTTCACTCTCATGATACTATGGAGTAGATTTCTTATTGAAGGTGAAGAAAGAATTGTAAATGGAACAGGATCAGGAATTTTCGACTTGCAAATGGATAAAGTAGATGAAGATTGGGCTAAAGTATTACCTGAATTGGACTATGCAATAATTTCAGGTGGCCATTGGTTTTTCAGGTTAATGTTTTTACATGAAGGTGGAAAACTATTAGGTTGCATTTACTGTAGTGAAAAAAATGTCAAAAATTATGACATAGATTTTCCACTACGGTTGGCATTTAAAACGTCATTGAAATACATTAACAATTGCAAAGATTGTAGGAAAGGGAAATTGTTCACAATTGTAAGGACATTTGCACCAGCTCATTTTGAGAATGGAATTTGGAACACTGGAGGGTATTGTAATAGGACAGGTCCTATAAATAAAGGGGAAGTTGATTTGAATAAATTTGAATGGCATTTAAGGAACGTTCAAATGGAAGAGTTTAAAGAGGTTAAGAATAATAATAAAGGGAAAACTAGGTTTGAGATTTTGGATGTGACAAATGCAATGATGATGAGACCAGATGGACATCCTGGTGAACATTGGGGAAATAAATGGATGAAAGGTTATAATGATTGTACTCATTGGTGTTTACCTGGTGTTATTGATGTGTGGAATGAGTTTTTGTTGACTGTTCTTCAAAGGTAAGATGATAAATAAATACGATGATGATGAGTTTTTTATTAGAGTTATCATCACATAAAAAAGGGAAGATTATACTTTTTATTCTACTATAATAATATAGTTAAAGGAAAATAGAAGATTCTCTATACATTTTTTATTAGGACATGAGAATAATATTATTGTCTTTGTTTTTTACTAGCTTTTCTATTATCTTAATATGTTTTGGAGTATATTTTAAGTGAATTACAAAAAATCTATTTTGATTATGAAGAGACATATTTACTTGAATTATATTTAATATTTAATTAAATACAGTAGCACATGAAAGACTCAATTTATATGCATCTTATCAAAATTGAAATATTCTAATAGTCTACTAATAATTTTGAAGAAACATATTTAATATTCTAATATTCTAATATTTAATAAATGGTCTACTATTGATTTTAAAGAGACATTTAATATTCTAATATTTAAGAAATTGTCTACTATTGATTTTGAAGAGAGATATATTTATCAAAATTACATTTAAAAATTGTTCATATTTGATTAAATTTAGTAGCATATGAAAGACTCAAGTTATATTTGATCATATCAAAATTGAAATATCCTAATAGTGAGTTGCTGACTGGTAAGATAACAACATCCAATGATGTTTTATCTTTTGAGGTTTCCATCCAAATTCGGAAAAATAATGAGAGATGGTACTTATAAATTACTTTAACGCCTAGGTTAGTAAATGAATAAGAGAATGAATAATATTTTTATATTTTCAAGAGTGAATAACGTGATTTGAATAAATTCAAGTAGAATAATATATATATATATATATATATATATATATATATATATATATATATATATATATATATATATATATATATATATATATATATATATATATATATATTATAAACTATTTAAAGTTTAGGGTTTAGTGTTTGGTTCTATTTTTAGAGGGATCAAAATTGATAACTATTTATATTTCAGAAGAATTAAATACGTCAAAATTGATATCAAGTTTCATTATAATTATTTTTTATCACTCTAAAAACAGGAACAAGTATGCACTTAATTTTATATTGCAACTCTAAAAAGTGTATTGAATTACATATTGGATTTGTCTAAGTAGGTCCGTTATTACACTTCATATAAAAATATTAGATTTCAGATTCAAAATTGGGAGTAGACGTCAAGTTTAACAATATTTGTATTTTCTATTTAAGTTAAGTCTCACTTAAATAAATTAGTTTTAAAATCCTAAACTATATTATGAACAAGTTACTTAATCTATAACTTATTCCAGTCTAGTCTAAGGCTCAACGCATTTTGATCCAACACAATAAAGTGCCCACCTTAAAATCTAGGATAGAGGTCGTGAGAAACATATAATAGACCTCATGAGATCCCCTAAAAGTCTTCTTCTCTAAAATAATTAGATGGTCTAAGAAACATGGAATGCTCCCTCCCTAATGGCATATGTGAGCAACATTTACAAAAGTTTAATGCTAATCATATATGGAAATCAAGGATTATCTAAGTCACCCTCTTCACGTCAAGCTGCTGACGTCATCCTCTAGAATAGTCATCCACAAAGAAGGTTCTAGAAATGAAGAACCTAAGATATACATTTCCTAGAAGTACACATGATCAAAGCAGTTAGAAGATAAAGGACTATCATATCGTAATTTCAAGGATCATCTGAGACGTGCACCCATCATACCATTCTAATAAGCAAGAGTTTCTAGACCCCTGAAAACCCTATAATCTTAATATAAAGTAAGAATTTCACATTAATCCCAAGTACACAATATTATAAACCTAAGAATCGTTTACTTACAGTCGTCACTAATTAGGGTTTTAGAATATTTGCTGGTGCACTCCTTTATTGGAGTAGAGCATCGAAATATTCAACTGAACTTACCTTCTGAGATCTCAGTTACACCCTCCATGTGAACCAAAAGGATCTATATAGGATCATAGCCCATTATTTATTTTTCATCTACCACCATATGAAACCCTTCAATATTGACTCCTATAAGAAAGATAAGTAAACTTCCATTAGAGTTTCTCTTAAAGTTATATTTGTTAAATACCAATTCTCTATTGATATGCCGCAATCGTACGATAATACTAAAGTAGTAAAAAGATATCATCCTTAGAGGCTAATTCTAGTTATTGATTTATGTTGAACCTATGTTTTTTTAAACGATCAAAAGTTTGGGTTGAAAGTACGAGAAAATATAATTAGGATTTCTTTTTAATTAAAAACAAAAGTCTCAGACTCTGATTCTTATCAATCAAATTCACTCACTGGAGTTCACTTTCGATTATAACTACAACTTTATTTTGTAGAAAATTCTAAAATTTCATCGATGCATTATTGGGTTCTAACCGCATAAATCATATGCTTTCGTAACAAAATTTCTATGTTTAGAAACCTTTTTAAAAGAAAAAACATTTTCTTTGTTGACTCTGAAACATTTTCGCAATCTCAGAGTCTAACTGTTTGAATTTCTAAATTGAACACCGTTTATACCCTTTTGGCGCATAAACAATGTCTTTGTGTTCCTACTTTCTTAGAGAACATTTTTGCTTTTGAAAACAGAAATTACAAAACAACTTTTGATTCTCGTTAAAATTAACACTCAAGAAACTTACATGAGGTCTTTTGGTATGACAATCTTCATGTTTCAGACTCTAAATCTATCTACTCAAACATGGAAATCGGTAAAGAAATAAAACCGTAAATGGCATACATGATAATAGTAATAATAACAACCGTAAAGAATATTAGAACCTAAAATAAAAGTAGAAAATAACTTGGATTAAAATGATCTGATGGATACTTGAGCTATACAACAACAACAATGCTTTGGAAACACAATACCAGAAAAAAGTAACAATGGAAAACTGAATTCTAGAGAATGTGGTCATTGTTTTTCTCAAGATCCTAGCCTTTCATAGGCCCTAGTACATGGTTACAACACTAAATTTGTGTAATTAGCCCTCGTGAAGTTTTTCAACTGATAAAAATAGTTGGGACTTGAAGAGGTTATAAGAAAACTACTCAAATAAAAGGAATCCAAGGCTGGCACTGGGACTACTATGACCCATAGCAAGCGCTACAGCCAGGTCGTAACAACTCTCTGGTTTTTGTATTGGGCAAGGGATTGGACCACTACGGCCTATAGCAGGTGCTATGGCCAGGACATATTGGGCTTTGGTTTTAGTACCAGAGACTCCTCTCTTCAAAGGTCTTTGTGCATTTGATCCCTCTTGGATCCCATTTTGCCACTATTGGTCCTTTTTCACCTGAAAGATAGGAAAAAAAGCATAAAAGTGCATAATAACAATATTTAAACATAAATTTGAAATAAAACACAATTGAAAATAGTCTAAAAGCTACTGGTAAAATCCCATCATACTTGAATCATTGCATGTCTTCAAGCAATTGTGATTGTATTGAAAGAACTTAAATAGACAAAGGTTTTTCGAAGAAGTGTTCAAAATAGTAAGGTAAAGATACTCATAAGGGATTTTATATTCTGATTGGCTAGAGGTTAATTTTTATGGCACTCAATTGATCCTAAGGGTCTTGTGAGAACACAAACTAGTGTCTCTCTCAAAAACACCAATTGCGCAATGGATTTGACTATAAGTCTCCGCACCTGATTTTGTTTTCTTTTCAAATACACAAAGCGATCAAATTAAGGCATTTAAACACGTATATCATCCCACACCGGTAAGCTTGGGCTGATGATTTTTTTTTGATAAATCAGCAATATGCGTTAAAATCAAACCAAATGTTTGTACAAGCAAATGACCTATTCAGGTAGAATAAACTATAAATTGTTATACCAACATTTATCAACTAAACTATACTTGGTACTATTTATATTTCTTATTCTATTCTTGACAATATCTTTAATCTGCTTAATTCCTCTATCAGGTGTTATCAACTTGTCGTTCCATAGAACCTCATTCCTGATCTTCCAGATTTGGTACACCGTAGCCACCACCATAGCAGAATAAACTAGCTGCTTAAATTTACTCGATTTACCTCTACCAATCCACCTTGTTATGTTATGCAATTTATCAATTAGATTCCAATTCAACCAGTTTTTTATAATGTTCCAGCATATACGACTATATACACAATCAAAGAATAAATGTTGACTTATTTCCTCATGTATTCCATAAAGTAGACACAGATGGTTGTCAATAATCCCCATTCTCTTCAACCTGCTTTTAGTCTTCAACCTGTCTTGCACAACCAGCTAGGTATAAAATTATGCTTAGGCACATTATTTGGAGCCCATATGGTCTTTTCCTACTGTTTTTCTCTGCCTCACCTTCAAGGATCTTGGCCATCATCCTGATTTTGTACCTTTCCATATCAAATTCCTGCTTGTCAACTTTGTCTTTAAATTTTTCTTTAACCTCAACAATTTTTTCCAATATCAGCTTCTTTGTTGTGGGATACTATAATCCCACCAGTCAGCATCCTTGAGATAGACATGGTATCCACTTTACCCACATGCTTTCCTTCTTACTTGCTATGTACCACACATGCTTACCTATGGCAGCAATATTCCAATTGAGACAGTTCTTAAACCCAAGTCCACTCATTTGCTTAGGTTTGCAAAGCATCTCCCAAGCCACATTTCCAGAGTTGCAAGTAGAAGTTTTACCTGTCCATAAAAAAGCCATGTAGATGGCAGTAATTTCTAGAAGCACTTTCTTAGGAATGATGATGATTTGACTCCAGTAGGAGTGAATGGTTAGCATTACAACATTTATAAGGAGAAATTTGTCAGCAAAGGACAAAAGCTCTTGAACTCCAAGTCATAATTCTTCCAGTCATCTTATCTACTAGAATTTGGCAATCCTTAGTAGAAATTTTCTAGGAAATAATAGGCATCCCTAGATAGTTGAAAGGTAACCTGCTTTTACTAAAACCATAGGCCTCAACTAGTCTTTGAATTTCTGACTCCTCCATACCACAGCAGTAAATCTCAGATAGTATGCCTTGAAGTTCTAGAGAATAATCCCAGACCCTACAACATAATGTGTGTGGATATGTAGTCACCATGACAAAACAATAACACATCATCAGCAAAACTTAAGTGGTTCAGCTTTAGATCATCACACTTTTCATGGTACTTAAAGTTGTCAAGTCATCTAATCTTGGTCATAATCCTAGATAGATACTCCACACCTAAGACAGAAAGCAAAGGGGACATGTGGTCCCCTTGCCTAAGACCTCTCTTGGAGCTGAAATAGCCTTGCATTGATCCATTCATCATCAGAGAGAACATGGGAGCCCTAAAACACTTCATATTCATATCAATGAACTTACTAGGAAAATGGAGGCCCTCAAACATTTCTTGAATGAAATCACATTCAATGGTGTCATAAGCTTTCCTCAAATCCAGTTTTATCATACAATTGGGTTTACAATCTTCCTACCATATTGTTTCACAAGGTCCTGACAAATCATGATGTTATTGGCTATATATCTCCCTTCACAAAACCCCCTTTGTTTTAAGATATTATCTCAGGTAAAATATTTCTAAGCCTATTACAGATGATCTTAGTGGTTATTTTATAAAGAACATTGCAACAAGCAATTGGCCTATAGTCACTAACTGTTGCAGGGCATTTAGTTTTTGGTATAAGTGTGAGGATAGTGGCATTAATCTCTTTTAACAAAGATCTGGTATTAAGGAAGGAAGTAATGGTATTACTTACCTCATTCTCAACTATTTCCTAGTTGTCCTGCAAAAAGTAGCTGTTGTAGCCATCTGGTCCTAGGGATTTTTCCCCAGAGATGCTAAAAACAACTTGCTTCACCTCATCTGCCATGTAGGGTCTGGTAAGGTAATCCTGTTGATCCTGAGACACTTTGTTCCCATGCTCCAACACACTCACTTTAACCTTTATATTATTATCCATGGAGGTCCCTAAAAGGTTCTTATATAAGGAGATAAACTCTTGGATAACTTCAGTGGGATTGCTGATCGAATCACCCTTGCTGCTGGTTATTGAACAGATTATGTTGATGTTGTTTCTCTTTCTGATACTGGTACGGAACAAGGTAGTGTTAACATCCTCATCTGTTATCCAATCTTGATTGTCTTTATGAGAAATGAATTCATTATGCGCTTTGTGTCTGCCAATAGCTATGGTCCTTGCTTGGAGTTCATTTGCAATTAACAGATGATTAAGAGGATCTTTCTTTAAGTCGTCTTGACAGTTCTCAAGATACTTCCTGGCTTCAAAGTCAGCAACATGAATGTTTTTGAAAACTTGTTGATTGATCTCATTTATAATACTTTTAAGGCTCTTCGTTTTTTCAGCTACAATGTACATAGGGGTTCCATGCTTTGGAGTGTTCCAAGCATTCTTGAGGTTCTCATTGAAATTAGGGAAGCTTTGCCACATTCTGAAGCATCTAAAGAGTTTTCCCTCCAACCAGGTCATGGAGATAGTAAGAACAACAAGGGTGTGATCAAATTTTCCTTTAAGAGGGAAGTGCACCTCTGCCTTTGTATAATTGTTAAGCCAAGTTTGGTTTGTAACCACCCGATCAATCATGGAATAAATTCTATTGTCTCCTTATTTTTTATTGCTCCAAGTGTAGAAGTTTCTAGAATACTTTATATCCTCAAGCTGGCAGTTTTTTACACAATGCAAGAAATCACTATTGTTGGAATCACGCACCCTCTTGCCAATTATCTCCTCCTTGGCCAATATGTCATTAAAATCCCCAAGAACCATCCAAGGTTGAGTGCTGGAAATATCCACCAAGTTCTTCCACAGATCTTTCCTCCCAATTACATCATTAAAACCATACACAAAGGTAGCTAGAAACTCCATCCTTTGGTTAATATTCCTAACTTTTAAATGGATTAATTGGCTTGTGCACTTCAAGATATCAACATTAAATATGGTTGGATTCCACCCAATGGAAATTCTCCCACCATCATGCCAAGAGATGTTAGTAGTAAAGCACCAGCCTGTAAATAAATTCAGATACAGATTACCAAGGTTTATAGCCTTGAATCTGGTTTCAAGGAGACCAATCATACTTACCATGTTGCTAAGGATAAACTTCTTGACCTCCTTTTGCTTCATGTGGTTTTTGATCCCTCTGGCATTCTAGGATATGATTCTATCCATTTGGTAGAGGGGTTTCTCCCCCTTCACTCTTATCAAGTTAGTCGTGTATTTTAGAGCTTTCACCTTCCTCATTATCATTAAGGGCCTATAATGCATTGGTTAAGATTGTGCCCTTATGGTTTTCCTTGTTCTTTTCCTTGTGTTTGACCCCTTTGGTTACCAATTGAAAATCATCAGGATCCTTCATCTTTTCAGTTAGTATTTTCTTTTCTTCCTCCTTTTTGACAATCCATTGATAGTTCCTTGGTTTCTGTTTACGACATTCTTCAAATTTGTGGCCCATGCATTGACAGTGCTTGCATCTATCTGGTTTCCATTCATATCCTATCCTCACTTCCACAATCCCGTTCATCTCATCTTCAAATTGCGTAACAGCTGGTAATTCCTCATCTATGGATACATTAACAAAAACTCTAGGGAAGTATAGTTTCTCCTTGAGTTTTGTTGCTTTATCCATCATCAACAGTTTACCAAATTGTCAGATGATCTTGAATATAGCTTTTTCTCCCCAGTATTTGATGTCAAGATCCTTAAGTCTTATCCAAATTGGGATTGAATGAATATCTTCCATTGGAAGTCAGTCATATAGTTCCACGGTTTCATAATCATCGGTTTTCTGTCAAAGTACACATATCCTTCACTCAGAATCTCATATATGTCTTGCACATTTCCAAATCGAACTATGAAAACTCCATGTGCTATCATTCCAATTTTATCTACTCCTCTTATTTTCCAGATTCTTCTTGCAAATCCTTCTAATACTGGAAAATGAGGGTTTTCTCCAAGAACATAGCATACATTTGTTGAATTCCAATACACTTTCATCCTCTATGTCTTCGAGATCTATTTTCACTATTGTTCCCTGTTTTTGGGTTTTTCATTACTAATTCCTGCTTCTTCAAACTTTTTATCCAAGTTCTGCACAGTCAATTTCAGAATTGGAGAAATTAGGGTTTTACCTTTGTTGATTCCATTTGAGCATTCATCATTATCCTTCAGGAACATCGCAATTTCCACCGGTATCTCATCTTTCGGTTTCTTCATTTCATCTTCAGAGCTTTCCAAATTGTCATCAATGAACTCGATTGGTTCGATCCCTATGATTTCAGCTAGATATTTTGTTTTCTTTCCATCTGTTTTTGAACTTGGTTCTCTCTTCTTCTTCTTCTTCGATTTCCCTTGCGTTCGTAGTGTAGTCTTTGCCATAGCGCCAACCTGAGAATTCCCTCCGACCTTCCTGTAGACGGAGTTCCTTCTGATCAGGACCCTAAATCGAAAATTAGATGTTTAAATAGTCACGATTGGAATCTCCACCTATAAAAAACATGATGCATACAAAAATCAATGCTAGAACGGGTATGAAAACTAATCAAAAAGTACTAACATGTCACCGAGACTACGAGTCAAATCGAGTTAAATCAATATTTAATTGAAGGGTTCTAGGTGTTAGGATAAGACCAATTTATCAAACTTTCTCAAGGGCCTTAACCTTAAGTTACTCTTCCCATAGACTCAATATACTTTCAAATACACATACAATCAAGACTCTTTGAAAATATTTTCAATTGTGACTTAGGAGTACAAATGGATTTTTCACAGCAACATGACATACACACAACATAAAACTAGCAACTAAATGAAACAAACAGACATAAACTAGAAATCATATAAAACTTACCCATACTTAAACCAATCAATGTCTCTGATGATTTATAAAAAAATTATATAATTGAAGGGAGATAAAAACTCAAATAACTCATTGTGAAAGTGGAAAATGCAACACGAGTTGGTGCATCATTGTGTTAATATCGGTGAGCATCTAGCCATGTCTTAATTGCTCATAACCTTGCCTCATCAATTATGCTTCTATTTTGTCCTTCTAAGCCTTATGGGGATCTGATGGTTCAGTTTCTTGTTGGGTAGACAGAGGAGGTGGTGAAACAAAATCTTCATCCATTGGAACACATGCATGATGTGCAACAAACTCGGAGGAACACTATTCCTTTCATGGTATTGGTTACCCCAGTCATGTAATGCTCTCTCATAGATCATCACTATATAAGTATCACCCAAATGGGGTATGATACCCATGGCTATTAAGGATTATGTATATATATCCTAGAATTACATGTTAGTGGATGAGCATTTTCTTTAGTGAATTTATAGCACAAATACTTATTGATGGATGTAATCAATCCCCTGACTGTTATGTCACCAATACGTGCCTTAGACACCTTTTTAAAGTGTTTATCCATAAATGTAGCAACATTCACCTCTTCATCATATAACATTGCATAAATATAACATAACTCTCTCTGAGAAGTTGCATATGTACTATCCCCTTTACCAAAAATTATGTGGGCAATGACTTTTTGAATATAACTAAAGCAAGGATTTGGATGCTTGAGGCTTTGTCCTTGGCAGAGTCATATTGTGGCCCCCCAAAAATAATAAACCACATTTTCCCAACACTGAAATCTTTAGGGACATATCCATACCCTTCAGTATGAAAGTGGATAATTTATCCCCATATTTCCATAGACATTGTATGATTTTCATTGAACAATCGAAAATTGAGGGTACCAGTTGTACCCTTATTTCAATTTTTCAGCAGGTTAACATCTATAGTACTAAGGAACTCTAGGGTTATTCACTCAAAAGTGGGATATCCCTACGACATAAACTATTACAACACAATCTTATTAAACAACCTATAGATCTCAATTTTCAACCTCAAATTTTTGAGAGTATTACCATCCACATACCTCATTGGATTTTTTCTATGTTGAACGAGCACTTCATATATATCCCTTAATTTTTGTCACTGAACTATATCCCATGGAGGTTGGAGTTTGAAGAACTTCCTTTTTTTCTTCTGAAGTGTGAGGTCTCACGCTGCTTTCCCTTATTTGCTCTTGTTGGTTCCATAAATGATGAGTTTGAAGAAAAAGTGAAATTTAGAGTTTTGGTTTTTTAGGGATTTTTGATGAGGTTTAGGAGGTTGTAATGGGAGTTTTGAGTGAGTGGGTTGGTTTTTATGGTGTGGATATGTGTTTAAATGAAGGTTTTTGGTGGTTATTAATGGTGGTTTTTAGGGTTTTAGAAGGATGAAGGTTGGAGAAGATGAAGTTTAGGTGGAGAGAGAGATATATATCGTGTGGAGTTTGGGGGAAATTGGTGGGTGGGACCCATTAGTGGGAGAAGAGGAAAACATTTTTTAAGCACAGAACTACGTGTTTTTTAAGCACAGAACTACGTGGCATAACAGGAACTACGGACCACACATAGTGTACTATGTATTTTGTATAAAAATGGGGTTTGGGCGGACTACAGACCGTAGCCCGAGCTACGGAGAGAACGTAATCCTGTTATAGGGGGGGGAGTCGTAGGATGGGCTACTGGGGCGTGGCGTAACACCTATATTTTAGTTTTATTATTTTATCAGGATATTATTTTATTACAATGATTCATGGAGTAATTTATTTGCATTATTACGGTGTTTTGGAGATTTTTGATATTATAAGGATATTTTAGTAATTTAGTAATTATTAAAATAATTGTGTTTGAGAGTGTTAGTTATTTTTATTTAATTAAATAAATTAAAAGAGAGCAGTATATTTATCAAGAATTATTTAATTAAATAATATGTGTGACAATTAGTTAAACATATTTTATTAAATAATTATTTAAATTTAATATTAATAATAATAGTTAGAATAATTATATTTAAGGATTTATTCATATAATTCTTTCAAATGTGAAAGCTTGTTACAATTATAAGGATTGTGGACTATGAGTGATGGAGCATGGGTTTAATCCTAGTGATGGTAAAATATTATTATTTTTATTTTATTTTTTTAAAATATGTATTTGGGATAAAATTATGTTACTTTAAAGAAGCGTGTAAATAGAATTAAAATGGTCTGAGCCGTTTCATAATTTGTGTTACGTTAGCCGAAAATTAGATTAATAGGGAACTCAATATTTTATTAATAACAATCAAACTATATTTAGGGAAAATGCCATTTTTTGCCTTGGCATGAGAGGAACTTGAGAGAAGAAGAAAAATTATAAAACCAAACTTTTGAAAAGAAGAACGGGTGATCTAGAGCTTAGAGAAGAAGGAACATCAAGAAATTAGTAAAAACTTCGATTGAGGTAAGAGAGGTTTATTTCCTGTATGATGGTTTGGGTAGCAGGATGATGAGGGTATCCTTTCACTCTCATCAGTACTACGGGTCTTTGATTTTGGAATTTGTATCGAATATGTTATTTATCTGTATAGTTCTGTTATTTTGAAATTTGCATTGAATATGTTATTTCACAGGCAACACATAAAAGTTTCTCACGCAGAACAAAATCTATTGTTCAACTGTATATTTAATATGTTCGATTTTTCTGACTTTTTAAAATGTTGAATGTTATAGTATGTTTGTTAATTTTTGCAAAAATAGAGTACCTTTTTGAGACTATAATTATCTGAATCAAAAAATATAAACCGTCCCATATTATATCCTATATATTATAATGGGAAAAAAAAAGAAATGCATGTAATTTTGAATTATTAAAGCATATACCATTCTAAATTAACATTGAAATTCTATAACAGTCAATGACATGTTTTGTAATTATAGTTAAATGAATTATGTTAAATAAAAAATTATTATAAGTATAACTTTACATTATGACATAAGAGTAAGCATAAACGTTAAGAATTGCAGTATTATTTAAGTTCTGCACAATGACATATTTTGTTATATAGTTAAATGGATTATATGTTTTGCTAGCTTATTGGCCGACGGGAAATCAGTTTGTTGATGAGGAATAAAGAAATTTGGTCTGTTTACAACCATGTTGAAGTTTAAACATGAAAAGGCTATAAAAAACGATATAAAATTTCAACTTTGAATGCTACGGTAAAAGCAGACCGTAAACCGGGAAATGAAGCAGAAGTGATATTATTATAAGAGTAGCTTCAATGGGTGCAATCTTCTTTTAAATTTTTTTTAAGGATCTATTAAGTTACGTTATTTTAAAGTAATTTATTCAATTTTTATTTCAATGGTACAACTCTAAAGAATCCATATTAGGTCTCACATCTTTACTTTATATATTAATACTTTATTTATATTGAATTTTATTTGATTTAAAATAATAATTTAAATTATTTAAATTTAAATTAATATAAAATAAATAAAATTAAAATTAAACATAAATAAATAAAATTAAAATTAAACATAAATAAATAAAATTTAAAATGATAATTTAAATTAATCTCAAATACATGACATATAATTAAAAACAATAAAAAAATAACATAACGAAATTACTCAAATTTAATTTTCATCATTCTCATGTCCAAAACGTTCTCAAATATGCTCGACTAGATCTCCTTAAAGTTGACGATGAACTTGTTTTTCACGAAGACTTGTTCTTCTTTGTAGTCTTGTTGCAAGTTTC